GCATAAAAATGATAAAATTCAAATGCCGGATAACAGTTGGTAAATGCAAAATCCGATACATAGAAAATGCCGTATAAATATTTATTATCGGGTCCAATAAGAAAGAGTTAGGTCACGTATCCACTGTATTTGTTACTTGAGCAGAGTAAGAAAGAGTTTGGCGAGTCAGGGAACAGTTAGGAAAAGTTACTTTATTTACTAGACAAGCGCCCTATTTATACATTTCGAAGTTCAAGGGTTTCAAACCCGGATCTGGGGTTTCGAACCCAGATCCCGGGTTTCAAACCCGGATCTGGGGTTTCGAACCCAGATCCCGGGTTTCAAACCTTAATCCCGGGTTCGAACCCGTACACGTGCTATTACTATCGTGACTACAGGATTTACTACTTTTACATAGGAGAATAAAGAATCTATATAGCGAAAATTCAAGGTAAGAAAATTTTGTCAAAATTTTTCATAACAACATCCAATATATACACATAGAGGCGCCAATTTTGATGTTTATATAGTTAATTTTTATTGGCTAAATTTTGTAAAATTAATTCTGATTGGTAAAATATATAAATATTTCTTTTTTCTATATTAAACGCAAATATTTGTACTTATATAAACTTTAATCCTTTATAACTTTTTCAAAACAAAGAATAAAAAATTCCTCTGACAAAAATATAGTTTTTCTAAAAATCTATCAATTTGTCAAAGGGTTTTTTGATTTAGCTTGTTTTAAAAATGTTATAACACTTTAAAGTTTTTACTAATAACATTGGATGCATTTAACTTTCCGGTACTGTACTAAAATTGGACATTATTACCAAATGGATGGGTTAACACAACCGAATTATATACAAGCGGAAAAGTTACTGACTAAATATAAGTTTTGAACAAAAATAAATTTTAATTCGTTACAGTAATATATATTCACTTTATTATAAGATAAACATGATGCATTTATTTATGATCATTTTTAGCTACCTGAACGTTGTAGTTCAAAGGTAACACAGGATTTATCAATCATGATCAAAAAATTAAGAAAAAAAAAACAGAAACCTCTTTTGAAATTTAGTTTTTGTAACTATTTTTCATGCACTAATAAAAACAATTTCTCACTGATCTCAAAATTAGGTTAATGCAAACCTAAATCGATCAATATATGCCGAATGGTCAATAAAACCTGGCTCAAATTTTTTATTTGTATGTATTACTCTTCACGGGTCTTTATATTAAATTAATTAAAGGATAATGCTTAGTCAAAAAAAGAATGGTCTAGACATAATAGTTAAATGCTTACATTGTTTGTTGAAGTAACTATGGAGTAGGAATTTTTGGTATAGGAAGAGGGTATTTGTAGTGCTTTAGACCAAAATTGATTAATTAAGTTAAAACCTAATTGATTTAAAAAATTATCGACTCAATCAAACGTTAAATAATTATCTATAGTAGATTAATAATATTTTTAACAAATCAAATTAACTTTAATATTAGCATATGACTACAGTGATATAACAAAATTAGTAATCAACTAATCGTTTTCGCACTCAGGTTACTAGGTATTTTTAGGTAGAGAATTGGAGGTAGATGTAGGAATATAGGTGCTAGTAGTTGAAGGAATTTGTTTTCCAGTTTTTGGATCAATAATTGTACCATCTATTAATAAAAGAAATAGTAATTAGTTTAATAAATAATTTGATTTAAAAGCAGATACATTCATAATTTTGATAATAATACTTACTGACAAAGTCATCACCACATACGAAAGCAAGCAATTGCTTATACTCTTTTACTTTCTTTAAAGAAATTATTACTTGAGCTAAAAAACTTGTAGGAATAAAATTAAAAAAAGTATTAACAATGGCTCTGTTACATAGAGTGCAGATTTTGTCAACAATATTATTATTATTTAATTTTTCTATAGAGGTAAAATTAGGTAAACTAATATTATTTCTAACAAATTCATCCCAGCAGAAAATGTCTTGTTTATTTTCAAAGCATACTGAATCATGCAAAGGAGAATAAAAAACGAAAGCAGCAAAAATGACTTGTGCTAATGTATTGTTATTTTTAAGGTCTTCTTGGCATGCAACAATAGTAGATTGAATGTGGGATTGAATAAACCTGTCCTGACATTTTGGAAATTTGCAAAAGTCTTTTGAAACCTCTACAAGTGCTGGTTCTATACTTTTGATAATTTTGATATCTTCATTGAAATCACCCGAAAGTTGTTCAATTGCATCAAAATTTTTTTTTTCAAAAAGTGGTCGAAAAGCAGGAAAATTTATACATTCAGCAAATTCGAGTTCTGATAAAATTGTGGTGGTTGTATTTAAACATTGACGTGATAAACTAAAAGGGTTGAGCTTGAATTTTAAAGTTGTTATTTCTGGATCAGATTGTAGACCTGTTGAAGGAATTTGTAAGAAGTTAAAGCTTGCCAAAGCAAGAATAGTAACTAAAAAATGTTTCATTCTTTTTCGATATAAGATATAAGATGTAATAATAATTTATTGTGCAGAAGTTATTAATTATATACTAAGAATTCTTCATCAATGCAAGACTATAGACAAAAGATTGTTTCAAAAAAAAACAATAAACCAGAGAAAAAGTTTCTTAAATAAATATCATTTTCGCTTTTCAGAGTTATTATTTCAGTTGATTTTTCTATTATTTCTAATTAATTTTACGTCAGTCCCAGTCAAGGACCGGACTGATGCAACCCTATTCTTACTATATCCTGTTGCAAAAACATGTGAACGTAATTTTCTGATTGCCCATATACAACAGGAGAGACCATCCAATTCTGATTTAGTTGTACATGATAATATCATGAAGTTTTATTAAGTCATCTGCAAATCAGTCAATCGATCACAAAAAAAAAAAGTTGATTAAGAGATTTTGCATCCTAAGGTATTGTGCAAATCTTCATTTTGAACCTTCCATGCGCATTATTTATTGTATGGCACTTACGCACATTAATGCACATGATTTACATATAACTGTACCAGGGACGATGATTTTCGGCAATGATTAATTTTTGCTACACAAAAATAGAATGTTTATTATTGCAGTATTAACGCAGAAATTAATCACCACAGTAAATCATCGTCTCTGGCTGAAAACAGATATGATTGAGATTCACGTCTTGCCAGTTTACTATTGCTTACTGTAGTAATAATGATACCTGACGAAACCATATGAGATCTTTGCTAGGAAAATCACTCTCAGACATTTCCCGATAAGGCTAATTCGGAACATTTTAAACCAATATACCGGTTCTTATTTACATATAAATCATTTTTTTGCGATTTAAATCAATACAATCAAGGCAAAAATGATTTACATGCAAATAAGTACTATATTTGTTTGAATTTATCCGAATTAGCCCGATCGGAAAATGTCGAAGGGTAATTAAGATCCTATATAGTTTCGTCAATTCGTCAATGACGAAACATATGAGTTTCGTAAATTCGTCAACGGCAAAATAGTTTCGTCAGGCATCTATAGATAGTAACCAGTAATAAACCAGTGGCGTTTTATAGGGTATATGACTGGAGACTTAGGTATTAGTTTATTACTGCAATTTAAACTTCAACAAGGTAATGGTATAGTTAGTGTTGTATATATATCATTTTGCGATTAAACATATGACTTAATACTAAAAACGTAGAACACATCTATGTCCTCGTTATTTTTTATTAACATTCAAAAATTTATAGTTTACCTATTGATAGAAGGACAATAGAAGATGTTGATAATTGTGTAGAGAAACAACAGAAGGTGTTAATAATCATGTGGACAAACGAACAAACACTGATAGTATTGTATGAATGAGTGTTGATAATATTGTCTGAATGAGCATTAATAATCTTTGTAAGCAGGTGTTGATAAGTATTGTGTATACAATGTAGATAGTACAGCATGAGCGAACATCAATAAGATTGTACAGTTAATGTTGAGGATAATGTTTTGAAAATAAGTATGGATGAATGCTGCGACAGTAAGAGGACAAACATGTGTACAACAATAGTGTGAACAAGTATAGATACAAAAGTTAAAATGAACGTCGGTATAATAGTATAAACAACCATTAGTACAATAGAATAAGCATAAATTCAAAAAAAAATATATATATATAAAAAACAACCTTCTCCAAAATGAAATTCCGTTGAATAACCCAAACCACCAATTCCAACAGTTGCTCCAAACTATGGTAGAGATGGTAGATGTATTGACGCAATCTAAGCAAACTTTGGCGAAATAGATTTGGTAAAGATTTCAACATTTAGTGGAGGAAAACAAGACCCCATAGAATGGTTGGAGTCAATAAAACGAGCATTTCAAGCAAACAATATCATAGGAACAAGGTGGCTTGTAGTTGTAGCTGCCCACCTAATTGGTTCCACTGTGCTGTGGTGGGAATGAAGAAAAAGTTGGATGCTATACTGGAATGATAAAGCAATGCAAGTCTGAAGTTTGTATACCAATTCCGGCAAACCTTCTACATACCAGCTCTAATAAACCAGTGGACCGCAAAATTATTAACCCGATGACAACAAGTGGGTGAGACAGTAGAACATTATGCTGTCGACATAGTGTCTTTGTTTATATGTATATTGGCTGTAGGAATCTAGTACTCAGAAGTAACAAAGGTTCAAATGTTTGTACAAGGCCTCCATCCTGAATTATCATTAGCCGTTGGAACCTTTTTGCTGAATACGCTTGAAGAAGCTGTTGAAAAAGCCCAAGCTTGTAAAATGTCTTTCATCTAAAAGAATGTTATATATAGTTCTGCTGTGATATATGATTTGATAATATATTCTACAACCTTGATGTCACACCGAATGATGTATCTCATGATTCAGCCTCCGCATCCTGTAGCCCAGCAAAACATACCAACCCAGCTCCGAATAATTCAATGAAGCAAGTTTTGGCTCTACTACAAGATGTAGTTACAATGATGAGTAATAATAATGTTAATAATAGCCATCTCTGTCCTATATAAATGAAGCATGGTGTGAAAAGACAAACCGACCATCTGTGTGCTTCATCGATCAACAAGTAGACACATTGTCCACAAGTGTTCAAACAATAAGTATATAAATGATAATGGAGTCAGTCCTCCAACTCAAGACCAAGAAAATGCCACCGTTGACGAAAACAGAATCGTAAAAGAAGCCCCAGTAGTACAAGCAATGGTAACCCAAACCCAAGAAACATTTGAGCATTTGATGTTTAGTCACCATCAAAAATCTGCTAAATTAAGTAATAATGATGCAATATACAAGGTTAGATATTGTCGTTAAAATGAAAATGGTCTTGAAAGGATGAAATATTTGGACAGTGTTCAACTAAGGCCGAAGGTGATAATTCGAGAGGCAAAAAAGGTCTTAGATGTTGTAATATTGAGATGAAGGTTAAGGATAGTGAAATGTATAAGCATGGCTATTATAGTAAGGGTGGAAGACAGGTAAACGTTGATATAGCAAATTGAAAGGTTGAGTATAAAACCTACAATTATGCTAGCGAGGTTATTAATGATGCTAAAGCTGCTAGTAATGATAAAGACAAAGTATTTAGCATAATTCTAGACCAGTTGACGCAGATAGAGCTGATAATATTAGTCTTGTGAAGGGTGAAGTTCAAGCATCAGCTGTGTATGATCGAAACTTGTCAAAGTGTCATTTGAATCCTGATGAAAGTAATAACTCGAAACTTGTAGAAGCCCAAAGTTTTGATGATTATATAGACCTTGAGGATTATATCTGAGATGAAACTAGTAATATGAAGCCTGCTAAAAACATTGGTCTTGAACATTGTAATAAAAATAGAATTAGAGCAGAAAAGAGTAAATACAAAGTAGTTAAAGAAAGTATAGTAAATAATGAGAAAGGAAAATTGATAATAAACAATAGGTTCGATAATAGTGATGAAAGATCAGAAAGACGTTTTGGAAAAGTGGTTCAACAAATTGAAGACAACGGAGAAAAGACGTTAAGAGTAATGAACAAAGTAACCTGAATGAGGAGCATAAAGTGAATAAAGATGGAAAAAAGGATGGAAGTAATGAACTGAATGAAGTAGTTAGTACAAGCAGTGACAAACCTTCACAAACAAGCAAAAAGAAAGAAGAAAACTTACCCTTGTCTGGTAACCAACCGGCCAGAAGGATCGAATGCACAAGTGAAATGCCCAATGATGAAGTTATTAAAGACAAATGTAAACTGTCTAATAAAAATAAATTATATGCAAATCGGTTTAACAATGGCAATGCAGGAGAACAATATAATCTTGGATGTTATTACCAAAGCGGTAAAAATTTGGATAAGAATGGCAAAAAAGTACTCAAACAGAGTTGGGAGGCTAGAGAAGGTTGAGAATGTGATGACAAAATAGTAACTTAGATGACTAATTTGATTAAGAGGAACTATTTTATAATTGAAGTGGAATGTATCTCTATCCTTGGAATGTGATGAAATTTTGCCAGTATTTACGTAGGCCCCAACTCACCAAAGTAATTAACTGTTATATTTCAACATTCTTGAATCCAACATGACATGTGTTTGACCCAGGAGGAAAGTCTAAATAAGTAATGAAAAAAAAAGAAAGAAAAGATATATATAATAAGTAAAACGAATAAATGGATAGAAAAAAAAAAAAAAAAGGTACATGTTTCTAGTTTAACGAATTACTATCTCGGTGCAGGAACGAATGCTAGAACCAGACTTTGATAAAATGATAAGAGAGGCAAGAAGGTTGAGGGAGGAGAAAACCTAAAGGTTGTTGATGAGTTCAACAGAGCTCACTCTTTAAGAGGAGGAATATGTTATAAAAATTTTGACAAATTTTTCTTACCCTAAATTTTCGCTATATAGATTCTTTATTTTCCTATATAAAAATAGTAAATCCTGTAGTCATGATAATAATAGTACGTGTATGGTTTTGAAACCTAGGATTAAGGTTTGAAACCTGGGATCTTGGTTCGAAACCCCAAATCCAGATTAGAAACCTTAGATCCAGGTTTGAAACTCTTGAACTTCGAAATATATAAATCGGGCACTTGTCTAGTAAATAAAGTAACTTTTTCTAACTTTTCCCTGACTCGCCAAACTCTTTCTTACTCTGCTCAAGTAACAAATACAGTGAATACATGACCTAACTCTTTCTTATTAGACCTGATAATAAATATATATTAAACTCTAATCTTGCTTAATAAGTGACCTGGTGGTGACTAATTTAAACTTACAATAACCTAACTTGGATTTATACATAACCTGCAATAACCTAACTTGGATCTATACGTAATCTGCGATAACCTAACTTGAACTTATTTGTAACCTACAATAATCTAACTTGGACCCTACATAACCTAAGTATAACCTGTGACAACTTCCTTCGAATATAGATTAATTGAAGCAACAATACTTACCCCAATCGATAATTATTACCACATACAGATCTGGATTGTAAA